TCTGGGACCCTCTGCACCAGCACCCTCAGCAGCAGCAGAACCTCCAGCGTCCGCAGCACCACCAGCTCCAGCAGCACGCCTCCAGCGCCGGGCGAACCACTCACGCAGCTCCTGTGGAGAGAGTAGCTCCCGCCGGGACGAAGCACCCGAAGAACCTCCAGGCCCAGCACCACCAGACGCCACACGAGCAGGCCCAGCACCCTCAGGCTCCGTACTCCGAGACACAGCACCCCCAGGCTCAGCACCCCCAGGCTCAGCACCCCCAGGCGCAGCACCCCCAAGCTCAACACCCCCAGGCGCAGCACCCCCAAGCTCAGCACCCCCAGTCGCAGCACCCCCAGACCCAGCACCCCCAGGCTCAGCACCCCCAGCAGCACCAGAGTCAACAGCTACCTCGACAGGCTCGACTGCATCTACCTGGGACACACCTGAGGGAGCAGGACCCTGAGGGGGGAGGGGGTCTACCGGAGGGGGACCTGGCGTAAGGAAGAGCGGCGGGGGAGGGAGGGACGCAGTGCGGTAGGGGAAGAGACGGTAGTAGGGAACCGACTCGTCAAAGGTGACGTCCTGGGAGGACAGAACACGGCGCGAGGTGGGGTGGTAGAACTGCCAGCCTGGCGCGTCAGGAGGGAAGCCAAGGAAGACGCAGGGAACAGCACGAGAGGACAGCTTGTCCGCAGACAAGTCGCGGACAAACGCCCTAGATCCCCAGACACGGAACGCAGACGCATCGCCAGCCTTCCCCGTCCACAGTAAAGCAGGGGAGGTCTCCGGCATGGAGACCCGGGGGTGAAGGTTGATCTGATGCGCCGCGTACTGAACCGCAAACGGCCACAGAAAATGGGGGGCAGCCGCATGGACCATGGACGTACGAGCGACGTCCATGATCATGCCAATGCGGCGCTCAGCAATCCCATTTTGCTGTGGAGAGTCCGGAAGCGTGAAGGTCTGGCGGATGCCTCGTGCACGACAGAAGGCCCGCAGAAGGTCAGAGGAGAACTCTCCGCCTCTGTCGGAGTGCAGACGCAGAACAGGAAAGTCCGAGCCGAAACTCTCCTGGAGCTGGAGACGAGCTGCGCGGATCCAGGCGATCAACACCTCAGTGACGTCACCCTTGCTGCGCAAGGGGAAGACTGTGGTGTAACGCGAGTAGTCGTCAACCACCAGCAGGAAGTAACGCTCGTGACCCTGCCCACGGACGCGGGCTGGGCCTCACACGTCCATGTGAAGCGTCTGCAGCGGAGCCTCTGTCGGAGGAAACTCGGAGGAGTGAGGGGCAGCGCGCTGCCGCCCCTCGACGCAGGGAACGCAGGTGGGGGCAGGCCCCGGAGGAAGGGGAGGGAGGGACCGGGGGAGGCCAGAGACAAGAAGACGGGAAGCCATGCCTCGAAGACAAGGCAGGGAAGGGTGACCAAGGCGGTGGTGCCAGAGGAGAGTCCGGTGGGACAGGAGACGACACGAGCAGGGGGCAGACTCAGGACCAGACCTGGACGCCGCAGCAAACACCTGACCCGACGCTGCTACCTGAGCAGACTCAGTGACTGGAGGAGACTCAGTGAATGAAGGAGACTCAGTAGTCAGTGTGTACAGGCTCGACCCCGGCCGACGGGTAAACTTGGCCCGTGTCTGCACACGTGCAGTGAGTCACCCGCTGACGCGCAGGGGTGAACTGGTCGACCCCCCCATCCTGCAGGTCAGCACCCGCCACCAAGTTCGTAGAGAACGAGGGGAGGTAAAGACCCGACAGGGAGCCAGACGGGACCGCTGGACACGGTAGGACAGTGGAGTAGTGGGCAAGAACAGGACCCCCAGAGGGGTCTGCCAGTGAGACTGCAACCAGCCGACTGAGTGGCGTGAGAGTGGTGCAGTCTCGAAAGAAGGAGCGGGAAGCACCCGAGTCAAGGGTGAAGGTGTGGGTGTCCGGAGACGACGCAGTACCTGAGAGCGCAGACTCACCGGCACCTGGGGCGGCAGACGCACTGGCACCTAGAGCAGCAGTCTCACAAGCACCTAGCGCAGCAGCCTCAATGCCCGGGTCAGGCGGAAAACACCGGTAACAGTCACCCTCATCACTAATAGTCACAGCATACATGGCAGCAAGAATAGCATCATAATCAAGATCAAAGATCGCAACACCCGCCCTAGACAGCTCGCCCCAGCGAGGGATCTCAGTAGCGTCGGGGAACTGGTGACGCCACGCGTCCGTCAGACGGCCGAAGCAGCGCTGGGTGGAGTGCGCTCCCCCACACTGCTCACCCACTCGGTCGCCGGTACGGAGAACGTAGGTACAGGGGCCAGCACCCCCGCCCCGCTGACGAGCAGTGTACCACTCACGAAGCTGCTGGGGGGAAGGGGTCTCACGAGGACGCTGCTGCTGCTGCTGCTGGCGCGTACCACCACCGGAGCCGACCCTCTGCGTAGAGCCGCCCCGACCCGCTCCACCTCCGCCGCCGCTACCTCCACCACCGCCTCCTCCTCCGCCGCCACTGCCTCCACTAGTGCCCCCACTCCCACTACCACTCCCACCACCACTCCCACCGCCACCCCCACTCCCTCCGCCTCCTCCACTGCCGCCTCCACCGCCTCCGCCAGCTCCCCCAGCGCCCTTGCCCCCCTTGCCCTTGCCTGGGCGGCGTCTCCCGCTAGAGGTAGACGCCGCAGCGACCGACTCAAGACCAACAAGGTCGACCGCAGCAGCAGAGGCAACAGAGGGCAAGAGGGGGGAGGGGGAGCACCCCTCAAAGACAGGGGTACGAGGGTCACCACGAGAGGCTCCTACAGCAACTATGCTCTTCTCTGCTGCTAGGAGACGCTCCTCGAGGAGGTCAACGGTGAGAGTGGTGGGGCAAACAGAGAGAAAGTGGTCCCTGACCGAGCGAAGGGTGTCAGGGAGCCGGGTGACTATGTAGTAGAGGGTGATGTACATGGGGGGGGGGGTTCTTGGCGCAGAACTCAGCAGGAAGCGCAGCGCGGTAGCGGATATCACTAGTGCGAAGGTGCGTAATGAGGTCAGCGACAGTGGGAAAAGCGGCGAGGTCAGGGAAGAGGTACGGCAGTATGAGGCGGCTAAGCGCAGCAGTGGCAGGGGAAGAGTAGCGTGCAACTACAGCGTCGTACAAGGTCTTAGCACTCTTGTACTGACTAAAGTGCGCACGCTCAGCGGTCGGCAAGTGGCGGCGCACAGCAAGGCGGGCAGCAGCATCGCGCGTGGCCCACTGTGAGCGAACAGTGGCGTCAGCATCAGCAGCAGGGGAAGGAGAGGCACCAGAAGTGAGGTCAAAGAGGGAGAGACCGTCTGCCCTATCGCACTGTAGGAAAAGCTGCAGATCATCGAGCCAGACCTCAAAGTCAACAGCCCGACCCTCAGCATCAAAGACAAGGACGCTAGGGGTAGCCATGACAGCAGTGGCAGCAGTAGCAGCAGTGGCAGTAGTGACAGCGCAGTGCGGCGACACTCTTACCAGGGCAGAGAGCCGCAAGTGGTGGGGCAGGGCCGAGGCGCACCGGCAGGGACGAGCCGAGGCGCGCAGGTAGGGCCGAGGCGCGTCGGTAGGGCGGAGGCGCACCGGTGGCTGCAGGCAGCGGCGGCGGCGGCTGCGGCCCCGAGGGAGGTGGCGGCGGCTGCTGCTGGTAACGGCTGCTGCAGCTGCGGCTTCCGCGGCAGGGACGGCGGCGGCTGCTGCTGCAGGGACGGCGGCGGCTGCTGCTGCAGGGACGGCTGCGGCTGCTGCTGCGGGGACGGCGACGGCGGGCCGCGAAGGGCGGCAGAGGGGGGGGGGCGTGAAGGGCGGCGCGAGGGGCTGCGGAGGGCGGCGACGGGCCTGAAGAGGCGGCGCGAGGGGCCGCGGAGGGCGGCGACGGGCCGTGAAGGGCGGCGCGAAGGGCCGCGGAGGGCGGCGACGGACAGTGAAGGGCGGCGCGAGGGGCCGCGGAGGGCGGCGACGGGCCGTGGGGAGGCCGCAAGGGGGGGGCCCGCGAAGGGCGGCGCGAGGGGCCGTAAGGGGCCGCACGAGGGGCCGGAAGGGCGGCGCAAGGGGCCGTAAGGGGCCGCGAAGGGCGACGCGAGGGGCCGACGAGCGGCGCGAGGGGCCGTAAGGGGCCGTAAGGGCGGCGCGAGGGGCCGTAAGGGCGGCGCGAGGGGCCGTAAGGGCGGCACGAGGGGCCGGAAGGGCGGCACGAGGGGCCGTGAGAGGGGCCGCTAAGGACGACGCGACGGTAGGGAGGGCACACGGGGCGCGACTCGGGCAGGAGCAAAGCGCGCTCCGGGCAGGAAAAAAAGTTTGAGGTGGGCCCTAGGAAGCGTTCCCACTAGGGAACCTGCTCTGAAACCATGTGGGAAACGAGGAATGATGTGTGACTAACAAGAATGGGAGTACAAATAGGAAACCCTAGAGTTGTGTACCCCCTAAGGCTAAACCCACTGTAGCCTACAAAGCTACAACATGCATGATGTTTGACACGTCGGCCTAGCAAGCGTCGACCACGTACAGTCGGCGTTTGACGTTCGGTAGATGTCGACCTGGTAGCGTTTGCTCACCCGCCCTTATATCATCCCTCATGCCCAATCGTGCGATCAGGTACGCTTGGTTTCGCATTGGGCTGAACGACCAGCGGTTGTGGGTAATCGGAGTCGGCCCGCTTCGATCGGCCATGAAGGCCGCCGACCATTCTTGCTTTGCTATGGTTTTCGACGCCGACATCGCCGCTATCCCGATAAGAACGACGTGAGCTGTTTCTCCGTTGTCCAGTTATCGTTTTGTTTGGTCGGTCGCATCATCGCCTAATGTTGTGATCGACGCCGTCGTGTATTTCATGTGCAGAGGCGGTCCGCTTCTAGGATCACACTGCAGCGTCATAGCCATCCTCTACCCAGGAGATCTGCTGAAGGCTGAGGGACAGGTCTGCAGGACCTCGATCCGGCACATCGACCCACAGACCAGTAAACTGGTCCACCGCGACGAGGCCGTCCGCGTGCTGAAGTAAGTTGTGAATAGTCGTCGATGTCCCGCTTGTTAGTCGCCGACACAGGGTATCACATGCTGACCGCCTCCTTTTACCACGATGCTCCGGGTTATTCCGCACGGCTGTCCTGGCCGAGCTGGGGCGTCCCGGTAGGAAGTGGGACGGGGCGCCGCCATCACAAGCAGTGGTGGAGGACACAGTGTCGGACGGGCATGTCGGTATCGGCATGCTTGCCGCGACATCGTTCGGGTGGGTGGCGAAGCAGATTGACATGCTGACGGGCGAGCAGGGCCGTAGTGGGGTGAGCATCGAGAACATCAAGACAAAGGGGCTGAGGGCTTTGCGAGACAACATGGTGTAGTACATCTGCAAGCGCATCGCCGAAAAACGCTCTGTGGCGCCGACTTCACAAGCCGTCGGCCCCGCCGACAGTGCGATTGATGACGACGGCGCGGAAAGACAGACGGCGCCCCAAGCAGCAGTTGCCGCCCAGCATCAGGGGACCGCGAGGGTGTCTGCGGAAGGAGGAAACGGTGGAGGAGGAGGCGACGCTGCGGCAGGTGCAGAACGGAAGGAAGAGGAGTCGAGGTCGTCGGAGTCGGGGTCGGGGTCCGAGTCGGAGTCGGAGGAGGAGGACGAGGCGGTGAAGCACAAGGACGAGGAGGAGGAGGAGGAGAAGGACGAGAAGGATGAGGAGGAGGAGGAAGGGAAGGGTGAGGAGGAGGAGGACGGAAAGGATGAGGAGGGGGTGGAGGAAGAGGTGGAGTACGAGGTGGAGTACGTAATGAGGTGGGAGCGGCGGAAGAGGCGGTGGGGTCGGCGGATGAAAGGAACGAGGAAGCGGAGGATGGCGATGCGGGTAATGCTACGAGGTCGGCAGATGGGGGGAAGGAGAAGGATGAGGTCGGCATGGAGGTAACGACGGAAAAGGGCCAGGAGGAGGCGGCATGCGAGGGAAGTGGGAAGGTGCCGGTCGACGCCGGCGAAGGGGTGAACATTACGGGCGTGCAGGGTCCTGAACTGGACGACGTCGAGGAGCTGCGACGGGAGAACTGGTTGTTGAGGGCGGAGAACGCTCGGCTGGCGACGTTGCTCGATGAGGAGAAGGCTCGGCTGGACAGGTTTTTTGTTGGGGTGGGTACGTGGACTCGTCGACAAGGTGAATGAGTTGGCCGACCAGGTTGCCGACTCCGACCAGATTGCGGCGGAACGGCTGCGGAACGCGACGTCGGCCATGTCGACGACCATCACGTGCAACATCACCGGTAGCTTTGACGAAGCATGGAAGTTGATGAAGTTCTTCGCGGAACAGGCGTCGGCGTGGTTGTTGGACTTCGACAATCCGGACGAAAATATGGCATATGCACGCGCCGAGGCAGTCTCCGCCTTAGCCGAACACATCAATACGGTGGTGGGCGATGTGAAGAGGGGTTTGGAGGAGTACATCTCGAACCACCTAGCCTCCGCGCAGGTCAACATCGCCACCGCTGTGACTCACAGGCTCGCCGTGCAGCCGCCGCCTCCGACTCAGCCCACGCCGCCCGCCCCAACGCCCGCCTTACCGGAGGAGCTCTTGAAGTCGTTCAAGACAGACATCTTGAAGACGGTGACGGAGGCCACCCAGCAGTCGTTCCTAGCTTCCGGGATGAAGATCATGACCGAGATGATCGGCACTGTCGTCGCCGTCGGCCAATGACGCCGATCACGCGCAACGGAGGGAGGCCGACAAGCAGGGCCAGAATAGGACGGGCGGCGGAGATGATGCGGGGAGCGTGGAGCGGAGCAAGGGAGCGGACGGGAGCCGTGGTCCAGGCGCGTCGCCGTCGGCCAATGACGCCGATTAGGCGCAACGGAGGGAGGCCGACAAGCAGGGCCAGAAGAGGACGGGCGGCGGAGACGGTTCGGTGAGCGTGAAGCGGAGCAAGGGAGCGGACGGGAGCCGCGGTCCAGGCGGCTCGAAGCCTGCTGCACAGAGCGTGGTCGACCAGCTGAAGACGAAGGCAGGGTGGAAGGTGATAAGGTCGTCGCACAGCAAGGGAGATGGGAGAGGGGGGGCAGAGGGTGGCACTGCCGACGAGGTTGCCGCTAAAGTCGCGGCACCAGAAGGCCCGCCTTTGGTCGCCGAGCACACCCATCCTGAGGCGAGCGGTGGGAAAGGCGTGCGCGACAAGGAGATACCAACCGCTCAGACGGCGAAAGAAGGCGGCGCCAGAACCGCCAAGGGACCGTCCGTCGCGGTGTCGGGGTCCACGTCGATTCCCTGTAACCCCCCTGCAGCTACCACCGCGCCGGCCGGCCGATCAGGCGCCAACAACGATGGGCCGGCCATTGCGGCCCCTCCAGCTCCAGCAGCCCCATCTGCCGCCAAGGGCGACGCGAAGGCTCCTGCGGCTAAGCGCGATGGTCCGTCAGCTGCTAAGGTGCCCGCCGGTGGTAACGCGCTCAGGGAGTTGCTCCACCGCATGGAGACACATCGCAGGGACGTGCAGCAGCCTGCCGTGGTCGACGCGGGCCTCGCCGAAATAGCAAGTCGCTCCGTCACCCCGCAGGTTGCCGGCACATCGTCCGGTGCCCCACCTGCCGCGCCTCATGTCGCCGCCCGACCGCCTGCGGACCCAAAGTCCATGTTTCTCCGCGCCCAGTTAGGCGCACGCAAAGCGGCAGCTCCACCAGTGACTCAGCCGGAAACCGGTAAAAGCGCGACGCCGACGTCACTAAACGCGGCCGCACCCACACCCAGTGCAGCTGTGGTCGATATGGCGGCGGAGAAGGGTGTGCGTGCAGCGCTAGCCACCGGCAGCCGAGCCGACAGGCACGCTGACATCGCTGCCATCCAGGCCCATTTCGAGGCTGCAAAACGCCCCGAGCACGCCCCTGCTCTGGCCATCATGGACACGGCGCATGTGGAGCCGTCGGCGACTCACGGAGGGGGTTCGGCGGAGCCGACGACTGCAACGGATGCTGTCGCTGAGAGGAATGCGGGACGGAAGGGGAAGGACGACACTGGAAAGGGGAAGGCGGTCTCTCAGAGGAGCACGCGGGCGATGTCGGCGGGGAAGGAGATGTCGGACGAGAAAGGGAAGAAGGTGGGAGGGAATCAGGACAAGAAGGGCGGCAAGGGTAAGACGGCAAAGACGAAGGAGGAGGAGGAGGACGAGGCGGTCGGCGAGGGAAAGAAGGAGCATGGACGCAGGGGTCATGGCATCCACCACGACAAGTCGGGCGACGGGCTAGGTTGGGTGGGCGAGATTAAGGTAAACGGCGAGAATCGATACATCGGCAAGTCGAGAGATAAGATGGAGCTGGCCTACGAACACTCGATTGCGTACTTCGTCTACGACGGCTACGTGAGCAAGGTGCTCATGGACGAGCTCACAGTCTTGAAGCCGGGGGAGTTGGAGGAATGGAAGGGGTTGTGGGAGGAGGTCAAGTTCTTGCCGACCGGGATGTGGACGGTGATGTGGGCCAGAGGCTTGTGCCATCCGAGAGCAAGGTAAGACGGATACCGAACTGCCGAGTGCTGTCGACTAAAGTCGGTGTCATTACGCTGATGTTGAAGAAGTCGGTGTCGTTTTAATGTGTTTGTGTGGCAGGTTCGACGATATACTCGGCAGGTACCGTGGGTACACGGGTTCTGGTGATGCTCTTCACGACGTGCTCTTGTCGGCGATCTGGTTCCCCGTCGTCGAGAACACGAAGGAAGGCAAGGAGGTGACGGAAGCTTTTATGTCAGCGATGGTAAATCGCGTGTCGATGTGCGCGGCGTATGGGAAGGTCGCGGCGAGCGCGGCGTTTGGGAAGGTCGAAGCAAGCGCGGAGGGGAAGGCGGAAGAGAAGACGGAGATGGTAGGCACGGACGGGGATGCGGATGAGAAAACGGAGTTGGCGGCCCAGGCGTTAGCGGCATCCGCATGCGCCCTATGGTGCTTCGTGGAGACGGGGGCGTCGGTGCTCGGTGCTGTGGGCGAAGGGAAGGCGGCGGCGATGGTTGCAGGTGCGGGGGAGAAGAGGGCCGAGGACTTCAAGAAGGTGATGCACGCGGTGATCGACCTAGCACGCAATAGGGAGGCACCCGCAGGGGAGGTTGCACACAACGTCGCACCGGCGCTGCAGCGTCAGGCTGTGGACATTGCCTTCAAGGAAGGGGTTGTGGGAGTCGAGGCCGACATAATCGCTAGAGCGACGGTCGAGACCTTGGCGGAATGTGCCCCATCGCCGGGCCCAAACTTAAAGAGCACGGCATCGATGTGCCGTGTGACGCGCAGATGGAGTACGATATGGAGCACAGGGGGAGAAAGGGGGAGAAGGTCAAGCAGGGCAAGGGCAGCAAGAGGAAGAAGAGGCAGACGGGCAAGCAGGGCAAGGACAGTACGGATGCGTAGTCGGCGGGCAGAGGTGTGCATGGTGCTAGGGTCGGCGCCGATTTAGTTGTAATTCTGATGAATGTTTTCTTTGTAGCGCACGAATCTTTTTTTGTATCAGGTTGCTTCACTTTTTGATGATATAAATCACTGTCCTCATAGAAACATGGTAATCGACTTTGAACGCTGAGCCTTGTCGGCGCATATGTTGACATCATATGAACATGCTACTTGTCAAACATCGTATGTAGTGGGTTACACCTTAGGGGGTACACAAAGTTAGGGTTTACTACTTGTACCAAACTCTGTTCTAGTTTATTCATTCCTGCTCAGTTATTTCTGACATGGTATCAGAGCAGGTCCTTCGCTAGGACTGTTCTTAGGGCCCACCGACTTACCTACCTGCTTACCTTCGCTTGTTTCCGGCCCCGCTGGCCCCGTCGATCTAGCAAGATCTAGCGGCCCTGCGGCCCCGTCGAAATTTTTTTTTTTAGCGGCCTCTCACGGCCCCCGTCGCGTCGCCCCTTAGCGCCCCGATCGGCCCCGTCACGCCGCCCGCGAACCGCACAGCGCGCCGCGCTCACAGCCCGCGAACCGCCCGCGCACAGCCCGCGACCCGCCTGCGCAGCCCGCGACCAGCCCGCGCAGCCCGCGCACAGCCCGCGAACTGCCCGCGAGCAGCCCGCGACCTGCCCGCGAACCCCCGCGAGCCGCCCGCGACCCGCTTACGCAGCCCGCGAGCAGCCCGCGCAGCCCGCGCTGAGCCTGCGCGGCTCGTGCGCTGACCGCCGCCGGCCCGCACGCTGCCCGCACTGCTCCCGGCCCGCCGCTGCTGAGCCCGCAGCCGCCCGCGCACCGCCGCTGCTGAGCCCGCCGCCGCCCGCGCACCGCCGCTGCTGAGCTCGCCGCCGCCCGCGCACCGCCGCTGCTGCGCCCGCTGCCGCCCGCGTATCACCGCTGCTGAGCCCGCCCCTGCTGCGCCGGCTCTCGCTGCCGCCTGCTGCGCCTGTGCACCACTGCAGATCCTACTACTACACTTCCTGCTACTGCTGCTTGTGCGCCACTACAGTCTGTAGGCCCCACCGGCCCTGCTGACCCTGCGCACGCCTGTTCAGTGACTTTACTGCTTCTACTACTGCCGCTGTCGCTATGGCTAGTCCTCCTGTTCTAGCTTTCGACGCCGAGGGCCGTCCGGTCAAATTCGAAACCTGGCTAGATGATCTGCACCTTTTCCTACAGCTCACTGCCAAGGAAGATATTACACTGTACGACCACGCTCTCGGCCATGCGACCGCCCCACTCGCTACTGCCCCCCCAACTGAGCGCTCACAGTGGCAGACCCGTGACGCACACGCTCGCTTTGCTATTCGCAACTCCCTGCCGCTAGATGAGCGCGAGCACTTCGGCCAGTGCAAGACTGCTAAGGACCTCTACACAGCTGTAGTGGCCCGCTACTCCTCACCCGCTTCTGCCACACTAGGCCGCCTCACTCTCCCCTACCTGTTCCCCGACCTAGCCTCTTTTCACACTGTCGCAGACCTCATCACCCACCTTAAGACTAGTGAGGCTCGCTTTCGCGCTGCCATGCCTGATGAGTTCCTCGCTAGCAACCCCCCCCCGCTCTGGATCACTCTCTACCACGTTGTCACCCGCCTCCCTGACTCTCTGCGCCCTGTCAGGGACCAGTTCCTCTCTCGCTCCCCCACTGAACTCACCATAGCCCTCCTCGAGAAGGAACTGCTTGCAGCCGAGGCTAGTATCGTCGCTGTAGGCACCTCTCGTGGCGACCCCCGCGGCCCCTTCTTCGAGGGGTGCTCCCCTTCCCCCCTCCTCCCCTCTGTCGCCTCTGCTGCTGCTGTCGACCTCCTTGGTGCTGAGAAGGTCGGGGCTGCGTCTGCTTCAGGCGGACGACGCAGGGGCAGGAGTGGCAGGAGTGGGGGTGGTGGCGGAGGAGGCGGGGGTGGAGGTGGTGGCGGTGGAGGTGCGACTGGAGAGGCTAGTGGCGGCAGTGGTGGAGGTGACAGCGGTGTTGGGAGTGGTGACAGGGGCGGAGGTGGCAGCGGAGGCGGAGGTGGTCGTGGCAGCGGCAGGGGTGGAGGTGGCCGGGGCGGAGGCGGAGGGGGTGGTGGTCGTGGAGGCCCGGCGGGCGGTCAGAGTCAGCAGCCTGCCCCGACCCTTCAGGCCGCCCGTGAGTGGTATGCGCGGCGCAGCGTCACCTGCCAGTACGTTATTCGTACAGGTGACCGCACTGGCCAGACGTGTGGGGGGCCGCACCAGACGGAGCGCTGCTTCGCCCGCCTCAACGATGCGTGGCGCACTCAGTTTCCTGGTGGGGGTGAGCTGCCGCGCTGGGCTGATCTGCTCAGGAAGGGTGTTGATATTTGGGCACTTGACTTTGATGCTATTCTCACTGCCATGTATGCGATGTCTATTAGTGGAGAGGGTGCTCAGTACTTGCGTGTTCCGCCCGACCCGGGCATTCAGGCCAGCCCTGCTGCTGCACTAGGTGCTAGTGTGTCTGCTTCCACAGGTACTACTGCAGCTGCTGCTCTAGGTGCTTCTGCGTCTGTGCCCCCTGGTACTGAGTCGACTGCAGCACTGCACACCTTCACACTTGACTCAGGTGCTTCTCGCTCTTTCTTTCGTGACCGCACTGTCCTTGAGCCTCTAGCTCGGCCGGTTGCTGTCTCTCTTGCTGACCCCTCTGGGGGTCCGGTCCTTGCGACCTCCTCCACCACCCTTCCGTGTCCAGCGGTTCCGTCCGGCAAGCTCTCAGGTCTCTACCTCCCCTCGTTCTCCACGAACTTGGTGGCAGGTAGTGCGCTCCAGGACTCGGGTGTTCACCAGTTCACCCCTGCCTACGAGCGTGTGACTCACTGCACGTGTGCTCGGACGGGCCGCCACCTGGCTACTTTCACTCGAGAGCCGGGGTCTGACCTGTACACACTGACCACTGAGTCCCCTCAGGTAGCTGCGTCTGCGTCAGCGTCAGGTCAGCTGTCCGCCCCCTGCTCGTGTCGCTCTCTGGCGAACGACACCGTCCTCTGGCACCACCGCCTTGGTCACCCGTCTGTGCAGCGCCTGCGGGCCATGCACAAACGGGACCTTGTTGCTGGTCTTCCCAGGGTGCTCCCTCCCCTTCCTGACTCCCCTGCTCCTGACTGCATTCCCTGTGTCGAGGGGCGGCAGCGCGCCGCTCCTCACTCCTCCTCCTTTCCCCCGACGACCGCTCCCCTGCAGACGCTCCACATGGACGTGTGGGGCCCAGCCCGCGTCCGTGGTCAGGGTCAGGAGAGGTACTTCCTGATAGTTGTTGACGACTACTCGCGCTACACCACGGTCTTCCCCTTGCGCGCCAAGGGTGACGTCCCTGGTGCTTTGATCCCCTGGATCAGCCGAGCCCGTCTCCAGCTAGGCGAGCGCTTTCACTCGGACTTTCCTGTCCTGCGCTTGCACTCTGACAGGGGTGGTGAGTTCGCCTCCGACCTCTTGGCAGCCTACTGTGCTGAGCACGGCATTGAGCAGTCGTACACGCTTCCGGCCTCTCCACAGCAGAATGGGGTTGCTGAGCGCCGCATTGGCTTAGTCATGGAGGTCGCTCGTACCTCCCTGACCCATGCGGCTGCTCCCCACTTTCTGTGGCCGTTTGCAGTCCGGTACGCCGCGCACCAGCTCAACCTCTGGCCCCGTGTCTCCTTGCCCGAGACTTCCCCGACTCTACGGTGGACGGGAGAGGTTGGCGATGCGTCGCGTTTCCGGGTCTGGGGATCTCGAGCTTTTGTCCGCGACACGTCCGCGGACAAGCTCTCGCGTCGCGCTGTTCCCTGTGTCTTTCTTGGCTTTGTTCCCGACGCGCCTGGATGGCAGTTTTACCACGTCACCTCGCGCCGGGTTCTGGCCTCTCAGGACGTCACTTTTGACGAGTCCGTCCCCTTCTACCGCCTCTTCCCCTACCGCACTGCCCCGCTCCCCCCCCGCCTCTCTTCCTCGCTCCAGGTGCTGAGGTACCAGACCCCCTCCCCCCTCAGGGTGCCGCTCCCTCAGGTGTGTCCCAGGTAGACCCGAGTGAGCCTGTCGAGGTAGCTGTTGACTCGCGTCCTGCGTCTGGGGGTGCTGAGCCTGGTAGTGCTGCGTCTGAGGGTGCTGAGCCTGGGGGTGCTGAGCCTGGGGGTGCTGAGCCTGGAGGTGCGGAGCCTGGGGGTGCTGAGCCTGGAGGTGCGGAGCCTGGGGGTGCTGAGCCTGGAGGTGCGGAGCCTGGAGGTACTGAGCCTGGAGGTGCGGAGCCTGGGGGTGCTGAGCCTGGAGGTGCGGAGCCTGGAGGTGCGGAGCCTGGTGGTGCTGAGTTTGGACGTGCTGAGTCTGGGGGTGCTGAGTCTGGGGGTACTCCATCTGGAGGAGCCCTCTCCTCCCAGCAGCTGCAGGAGAGGTACCTCGAGTACTGCCGCCTCCGGAGAGGTGCTTCTGGAGCTCGTCCCGGTACTTCCCCTCCTACCCAGGAGCTCCCCCCCATTCAGGTGATCCGCGAGTGGTACACGCGGCGCTGCAGTCTTCGTAGTGGTACTCCTGGTGCTGCGGACCCGAGCGGTGGTGCTGTTGCTGGTGCTGAGGACCCGGATACTGGAGCTGCGGCTGGTGCTGAGGACCCGGGCGTTGGAGCTGCTGCTGGTGCTGAGGACCCGACCGGTGGCGCGGCTGCTGGTGCTGAGGACCTGACCAGTGCCCCTGCTGCTGGTGCTGAGGACCCGGGCGTTGGAGCTGCTGCTCGTGCTGAGGACCCGACCGGTGGTGCTGCTGCTGGTGCTGAGGACTCGGGCGTTGGAGCTGCTGCTGGTGCTGGGGACTCGGACGTTGGGGCTGCCACTGGTGTCCCTGCTGCTTCTGGAGACGCTGCGCGGCCGCGACCGTACTTCGTACCGCTCCTTCAGCAGGTTCTTGGTCAGGCTCCTCCTCCTTGTCCTCCTTCCTCCGTCGAGTGTCCTCTGCCTGTCCAGCCGCAGTCACAGTTACCGCCTGTCTCGCCT